AATGTGCAAGTACCCTAAGTGGCCCACTGTGCAACCTCTTCCAACACTCCTTGGATGGGCGAAAGCTCCCATGAGACTGGAGAAGGGCTATCCTTTCTCCCGTCTTCAAAGGATGAGGCAGACAGAATCCCAACTGTTATAGACCCATAGCGCTTCTACCAGTAATATTAAAAGTAATGGAAAGTGTGATGGACGACCGTATCAGAGAATATCTGGACACCAAGCGGGCACTCAGTGACGCCCAACATGGCTTCCAGCAGAGTAGGTCCTGTGCCTCCAACCTCCTGACGGCCCATGATCACTGGACAGCATACCGGGATCTCAAGATCCCGGTCCACGCAATTTTTCCGGACTTCGCCAAGGCCTTTGACACCGTCTGACACCATATCCTAATACATAAGATAGCTGGGTTGGGTGTTCGCAGCCAGGTGCTATCGTGGCTGCAGAACTGCTTAGACAACAGAGAGTTCTGAACGAAAGTCAACAGGGTCTACTCAACTTGGAGAGCATTCTCATCCGGTGTTTCACAAGGAGCAATCTTGGGCCCACTGTGGTTCCTACTGTTCGTAAATGACTTGCGGCAACATATCAGCCCCCCGATTCTCCTAAACGCCGATGATGTCAAGTTATGGAGGGCGAGGCGGAATCCATGGCGTTACAGAAGGGCCTCAGAACACTAGAGGAATACGGAACTGATAACGAACTGGCATTCAATCTGGATAAGTGTCGGTCCAAGTTTTTCCGCACTCCTGATCTCCAGAAAACACCCTACTATCTTTGTGGTTCACGTCTATCCCATACCACAGTAGGAAAAGACTTGGTTTTAACGGTGACGGAGAAACTGGACACCAGTTCCAATTACTCGGGTGATGTCTCAAAGGCATATGGGGTACTACACTTTTGTGCGTAAACAACTGGGTGCACTCACTCTTTCTGAAGCTCTACGAGACTTACATACGGCCCCACTTAGAGGTCCATAACGTCTTCGCTCCACCACAGCTGAAAAGAGACGCGAACCTACTGGAGAAAGTCCAGAAACGAGCCACAAAAAGGGGTTGTCTGAACGCAACGAAAACCATATGAGGATAGACTCAAAGACCTGGGTCTATGCTCCCTTAGCTATCGAAGGATACGTGGCGACTTAATGATGGCTTACATAATAATGAGTAACCCAAGTCACCCAAACAGAGGGGTCCTACCGAGTAGCCACTACGGAGATCCTCGGGAAACCCCAACAGAATAGCGCACCAGAGGTCAAAAACGCATGTGCGTTCACAGTTCTTCTCCCTCCGAGTCTGTGGGTACTGGAACGCACTACCAGCAGAGGTGGTCTCCATTCCAAACGTTGAAAGCTTCAAGAAGAGGCTAGACAGTTGTTCAGAGACTCACGGTCTACCCACCCATAGCTGGAACACGAAGTGATGTTAAGCCACCCCAAACAGTTTTCTTTCTATTGTAACCATTTAAGTCTTTTTCACCCCTTTCACTTGGCATAAGTAAGCCTCACTTACCTAAGTTCTTCATACTTTTGCACCCCTACTCACTTTACTTGGGTGTAAGTATATTACTCCGTTAGTTCACTTCTCCTCTTTCCTTTTACATACACACTTTCCAGGGTTTTCTCTTCACTATCCTTAACCCTCTCTAGTGACTATTTCGAAGTACTGTCTGGAAACTCGACATTTGAAGAAGCCAACTGCACCACAGTCCAAGTCAAACAAACCAACACTTGACTTCCTGTTCTGTAAATCAGAGCTATAGCAGACGAGTGACTGAACCTACTGCACCGGAATCCGCCAAAGATCTGGAGCCCTCCCGCAAGGCCAAGAAGCGAGCGTTAAGAAATCAACTGGTTTACACAAGCTCGTTAAAAACAAATTGGGTATTGAATAGGACCGATCTCGGGCGCTTAGTATGTTGCTCGACCTTGACTGGTGGTAATAAATCGTGGCACGTGGCTTTTGTGACAATCTTGATGTTTTTTGATTACTAGGAAAAAATAAAAAATAGACTTGGAGTGTTTTTCAAAAAAACTCTTGGTAAGACATAGATATAGAGAGCGTATAGGTTTTTATCGTGATGACATTCTGTTATTCGAAGGGAATTATCAAAGACAACATATAGGAAAATGTACCAGTTACTTTGAAATTATGAATACTGATGCTATGTTACTCAGTACTACCAAAGAATATTTATTAGAAATAGCTACGGAAATACCTTGGACGTTTTACTTGCTAGGGGTCCAACACTTCGAATTTATCTAGTCACTTTGTCACATTTCGATTTAAGCTACGTCAAGATTCACTAGAAGCTGCAACCCTCCAATTTATAGAACCTGCTTAGGTTAGTGTATGCAAAAAATAGTCTATGGAGCGCGTGAGACGCGATCATGAGCTATGAGTGCTGCTGCCTTGACGTGGTGGTCGGGCTTGCATATCACAATGACCCAACGAGCTATGCTGGCGGAACACTTGTTCCCTCTATGTCCTACCATACCAGAAAGCTCTGTTAGATAGTGGTTAGACGAAAAGTAATTACCGTTGTGGTGTAAATTACTACACTATGATGGGATCTGAGGGCGAAGTCGTACTTCTGCTAGCTGGATGAGGTGTGACAGCAGTAAGGTGTTCCCCTTAAATGACCAGTAATGCCATGCTGATGCTGTCTTCTCAGTGGAAGGGGGTGTTAGAAAAGGTCGGCCCCCAAAATAACATACTCCATGGTCTGCTGGGCCGGTGGTGTTGATTCATTTGTCGTCTCTTTTCAACCATCCGACCCCAAAACAACAAAAGTTCAAAATAATCATACACAAAAGGCTGAGTGTGACAAGCCTCAGGCAGATGTCCGATGGGCTCTGCGGTCACACAAATCTCTTCCAGGTACCTCAAGAAGAAATAGCCTTCCACAGTGTGGGTAGTCAGGAAGTGTCAACCACCCTCAAAACCCGATCAGCACTCGAGTTTCCTCAGACTGCTATCCACCTCCCCCATCATTACCTTCTAATCTTCCTTCACGTCTCTTAATTAATGATGCTGCATCATCTTCAATTTCTCCTACCTCTGCAACCTTCGACAACGATCTGAGTCCACAGAACAGCATCACTGGTCTCCTTAAACCAGGCTCCAAATAACATATTGGAGCCTTCAATGTCCGCACCCTCCGTCGAATTGGTCAACAGGCTTCATTGGCCAAGAATCTAGCAACTCAGGCCATGGATGTGTGCTGTATTTGTGAGACACGCATACAGGATCCAAGTGCAGTTATTCACCTGACCTCTCCCGACCAATCTGGTGAATCCGCGAAATTCACCCTTCGAGTTTCTGGAGATTCGATAGCTAGCTCTCGTGGTCTTGCAAGTGTGGGCATAGCATTGAGCACTAGGACAGAAAACTCATTACCAGACTGGATCCCAGTTGATAGTTACCTCTGCGCCATCCGACTGAACGGCACAGTGAGAACTAAAAGGAATAGGGAGACTCGCCGTTGTCTCTTTGTGATTTCTGCTTACGCACCCACTGACTGGTTTGGAGAAACTTGACTAAACCAAAGTATGAGTATACTTAACAGTGGTACGCTCTGTCCTGATGTATGTTTAGGACATAAACGTTGACGTTAGATATCATGTGGTTTTAGGTTTACACTACAAATGCTTACAAAGCAACAATAGTTTGTGTTGGAGTGACGCAATGAACAGGATTGAATTAAAACAGGTTACTGAGTACTTATAGATGCAAATTCATAAGGTTATGAATCTACTGAGGTGGCTAAAAAGCCCGTTCCACTATCTTTGCTATAATATTCGCTAATGAACAATGCTAACACAAACAGTAAATTGAAAAACAGTGAAGGAAGGAAATACTGTAACGACGTTAGTCCATTGGATCTCTGATTTTAGTCTGATCCATGTGAGAAAACTGAAAATTAGAGACTGAGTGATACAACCCAAAAGCGATTGAAGTAACTCAAGTATTTTCCCATCTTGTCCTCTTGGTCGTAATACGACATTTCGTTACTTGCTTCATTTTCTATGCCTCCTATTGAATAAATATGTGTGGTCTTTGATTACACTACTTTGATTGCCTTGTTTTCACTCTTGTATGGTTACTCAATAATTTGTGTGCTAATTTAAAGTGTGGTGATTCGAACCGCTTACGCTGTAATACTATGCCCCCATACTGATAACGTATCTGCCCTGGCTTTATTTATTCATCAGTAGCATTCAGATGCTATCTACCAGTCTAAAGTATACTTTAAGTACTCCGAAAACATGTACGACTTTCAAACTTGCTATTCCTAACTTTAGCAGTTTATTGTAGATGACAGCCTATGTGCAAACGGGATTTCGCTAAGCTGACTTCGAGGCATGGTGTATCTTAGAGGCCTTCACACGTCCCAGTTAAATGCAATGGGTAATTTCAGCATATATCCGTTCAAAAAGTATATTTCCTGTCTGTTTATTGTCAAGCCTTGTGAAACCAATGTTTTGTCGTCCTGATGTCAGTTCTGTAGTGTTATAGTCGAAGATGCAATCATATTTGACAGTCGTATATTTATAATTAGGGACGAGTGACTGATAAATAAAAATATGAGTCTACATCATCTGTTTCCAGGAACTTAATCCAACCAAGAATAAATACTAGTCAAGTAATTAATCTCAACCAATTACACACAACTCATATCGCGACCCCTCCTGGAAACCTCAGTGCATAGGTAAAGCGTCTAAACTCAAAGGATAGTCATTTGGTTGACCCAAGGTGGCTGCTTCACGATATTTGAAAGGGTCATGAACCTCACTTAACCAGAGGCACCTAATATGGCCTTAATCATGCTTATATATCATATTTCCATGAATGTCTGTTCTTCTGTGTATTCAGATGCAACGAACTTCCGTGAGCTTGTTCTTAGAACATAAGTTGACATGAAACTCAAACGCTGATTTATAATTCCTTTAGTGATTTTTATGCGTTTCCCACATGGTTCACTTCACCATCAGCTGACACATGGTTTCCAGCAAATTGGGTTATCCATTGGCACTTGTATCAGGCTTCTTTGCAGCATGCACAGGCTTGTATAGTAAATTATTGAGTGAGGATTATATATTCGTCGCGTTAGTATTCTGGTTCCCGAATGTAAACAAGAATGTCCTTTTCATTGCTACCTATGGTGGTGCAATCATCATGAATGCTATAATGTGGCTTGCTTTTGTTACTGCTCTCAGTATGGGTCGAAACAGCGTTGTGGTTATGGCCACAAACACTCTATCAAACTTCGCCTTTTCAGTAAGTCGACATATATTTAAATATAACCTTATAGGCAGTTTTCGGAAGATGGATATTTCAGGAAGAATTGAATACCAAGTGGCTCGCCGGCATGTTGTGTTTATGCATTGGAATTATTTTGTTGCTTCGTTTCCAGTGACATACTTTTTCCTCCTCTTCGGTCCCCCGCAGATGTTTTTAGAAAGCAGAGCTGTAAGAGTTTCACTTGTCAAAGCTTTATATATTACATACAATTCTGCCTCAGTATCTGGTAGTATCGTGCTCGAATATAACCGACGACGGGCCTTGTGAGTCGGTTTTCTCTGTAACAATTTTATTCCAATCATCTCAAAGTTGAGTTTTCTTGCTATTTGTCTCTTTTCTTACATTAAACTTTGTACATCCTGCTAACCTTGTCCTATTAAAGAGCTAATAAAAGTAATCGTGATTTTACTGACCATGAAATTCCCGTCACTGCCATCTGGACATAATTTTCACTTTCATTAGTTATTTCAAGATAGAACCCTGTTTTGTTAAATTGCAGTTACTTGATTGGCCGTCTGTCTTTCATATCGACTGTCCTTAATCAGTCATGATAGGTTTATTTTAGAAGCTTGTTGTAAATAAATGCTTGTGTCGCAGATAGTTTTACCGCAAATTTTTTCTTTATTGTTGTTATCCTGCTTTGGCTGCCACTTTCTGCCTCCGAAAAATCGTAGTCGTTTACTTCTTTTCATATGGGTAAGAATATTATTTCACAAATAGATCATCCTTTTCAGTTCTCTACACGTATAGTTGTCTAGAGTTTTGAGCTGAAACCCCTCGTTATTGACAGTAGATGTGTTATGGGTTTTCTAAGTATGGAAACTGTCAACATTTCCATCTAGGATATAAAAGCAGAAGACAGCAGTATCGATGATAGATAGTAAACACAAGCCTTTAAAATGGATCGTTTTTCTCTATCATATTCTAAAGTCTAGGACATCAAATGAATTAATCATTGCCTACAACCTCAATTTGGAGATACTTTGTGGATTGTACAAAGACTATAACAAAGTTATTCATTTCCCCTGTTTGTTTAACACTTAACTTCGCTCATAGTTTCCACTAGTACAGCACAGTAGTAGGAAATCAAAGTTCCACGAGTTGTTGTCTAATTGTCTTATGTACCAATCGAAAGATTTCTACTGAATACGCTCGGTTGCTCACAGACAAACAGCTAGCAAAAAGAATAATGTTATTATACTCCGAGCATATAGAGGAAGTAAGAAATATGAAAGCGTTAGATTACATGATGATACTGATGTAGATTAGTAAATTATGCATTTATCAGGGCAGCAACAGATCATTCTTCTTCTCCCTTATAATATACAAAGGCCTAAGCGGACTCAGCAAAGTTGAAATTCCACTGGTTTTTCATCCTAATAGACAGTTCGAATTCAGGTCTTCTGGTGAAAACGTTACCACTGTATTGGTTTTTAATGATCCACATTTCCCTACTTCTGCCGATCTGTAATAGGGCACAAGCATAACTCAACTGTCATCGATACTTTATAAAAATTGTTTTCAAATCAGTAAGTTCCCAAAGACCAACATTTAAATAACTACTCAGTACTCAATCGTGTCTTGCCTGAAGTTGAGTTTTTCAAAGATGTTACGAGAACTTCAGGCCTTTCAGATCGACCACATCGAGTGTGAGGATACATTCATGAACCAAAGCTATACATTAACGCGGATTAACAAGAATAAGAATATATGCACCACAAAAATCGAATCCCAGGACAGAACTGTAACGGGCACATTGCAAGACATGAATGTACTGCGCCTGATCTCTCATTAAGATACATGTGGAATCAACGCAGAATTGCGCGCACAAGAGCACCGGCTCAAGCTTTCACATTAGTACACAAAAAAACAGGTGGATAGAATAAGAGTAGACAAAGTTGTATGAGAGAACAAACAATTCGAAGATAAAGGTTATTACGAATATTCAAGTTTTAGAAGACGTCAGAGAGTGAATACATCCCCATCTAGACTGATTTTCAGCCATGCCACCAAGAATTCTCAAACACTGATTCCTTTCGTCTCGAGGACCGCAACCAGGCAGTTGACATCTCTTCACAGGGTTCCGACCAACAATCAGAGACGTCATGGACTGGTGCCACGCCTTGGTTTGACCACCCTGAACCCCCTTCCAAGCTAACCCAACTTCATCTAGCACTGCACGTCGAGGTGGATAGTGGCTCGATGTGCGCAGTACATGTACAAGCTATCTCAGCCGATGAGGGTCCACAATCCCATCAATCGACCTGCCTGTCTGGCTTAGTACCGTTCGCCTGACCTCAACATTGCTCCCACGGTGATTCCACCAAACGCGAGCTATGCTACGAAGACACCTGTGATCAAAGCCCTTCGACTGCTTCATCTCTTCTACTTTTAACGGCCATGTCTCACAGCTGTATAACAGGACAGAACGGACTACAGCGTATGTTACTCCTTTGATCAATAGTTGGATGTCTCGCCCTAGCCTTAGATGATGTAAGTTGACAAATGGTGAACGGGTTTTTGTATCGGAGTTGAGACTGCGTCAGCAACCAGCCCGTTTGGGTTGAGGCGACTGCCCAAGTAAGCGAAGCGGTTGATACATTCCATCATTTTACTCAGCATCAATAAACTGGGAGTAGTTGCAGCAGACGAGTCATAGAGCATCATCTTACGTTCGACAGGTGCCAAACATACTTACATTTCTGCTCATTGCATCCAGAAGACCCTATAGTTTGTCAATGTCCTCACCTAGCAGGACAACATCGTCTGCATACTCCAAAACCAACCAGATGACCTCCAGGGAGTTGGTTCAATCCCTGTGAAGTCGCGAAATTAAATAGGAATAGTGACAGTAGACATCCCTGGCAAACACAACTAGTTGTCGTCAATTCACATGACAACTCTCCATAAGCCCTGACACAGCTCCGTGAGTTCGAGTATAGAGCTTTGATGAGACACTGCCACAACACCTCATAGTCGACGGAATCAAATGCCGCCTTCAGGTCAACAAATATGGCAAGTGTCGGCCACTGGTAAGTATGCCTGTGTTCCAGTGCCTGTCGGAGGGTGAGAATCTGATCGATGCACCTCCATCTGAGTCTAAAGCCTGCCTGGTTTTCTCGAGTTTCTTGTCCTCGAACTTCAGTTAGACGTCGGATAACTATAGACCCTGGGATCTTGCATCATCATCAATATCAACATAAAACCAGGCATTACTGCGTAACGGTCCGAGTTGCCACACCTCACGTCAGTTCATCAAGTTAAAAGGCAGTGAAGTGCAAGATGAAGATAAGAAAATTCAGTCAAAATAAATATAAACTGCTAAAGGAGAGAAAGGAAGAATGAGAAAATGGTGAGATTCGGTATGGTGTCGTTAACATGAGGATAATGTGTGTACACAACTGCGCCACTAACATCGGTTCTGAGCCATATCACCTAGAGTCTCCAACCACTGGTTCCTCTTGTCCCGCAGAGCCCAACCGGCTAATCTACATCGCCCCACATGGCTCAAACCAACAGTTAGAGACTTCATACATTGATGCCATGTTTTAGTCTGGCCGCCTCGGGCCTTTTTACAGCCTGAACCTACATCGGCCAACATTGTGTGACGAAGCAATCGGAAACTAGGCACACGTAATGTGTCCCAACCATCTCAGTCGATGAAGGTTCATAATCTCGTCAACTGATTTACCTCTTCTCCCTAAAACTGTACACCTGACTTCTGCGTTGCTCACGTGGTGACACCACGGAATACGTCCTGTACTACGAAGGCAACGGTGGTCAAACACTTGAAGTCCTCTCATGTCTTCCACCTTTAATGGCCATGTTTCACAGCCATACAGTAGAACAGACCGGACTGCTGTGCAGTACACGCGACCCTTAATAGACAAACAGATGTCTCGGCGGCGCCATAGGTGGCGTAAGTTGGCAAAAGCCAGCTGAGCCTTTTGTATTCGTACAGAGATTTCATAGGCCACTGAGCCACCAGAGCTGATCCTACTTCCCAGGTAGGTGAAGTGGTCGACACACTCTCTATTGTTAGCCACGGTGGGGCACCGCTGAAGACCAGTCCTGGAGCAACAATCTGCATCTCGGTGGTGAGAAACGCATCCCAAACATTCTCAAATTGACACTCAGTGTCCAGAAGACTCTGCATCTTGTCAGCGTCTTCACCTAACAGGACTATGTCATCTGCATATTCTAGGTCTAACGAAAATTCTTCTGCGAATAGGTCAACGTCTGTGTAACCTGGTGACAAAACGGAGACCTCCATAAGAATGTCTATGATGAAATTGAATGAGAATGGAGACAGTGGGCACCCTTGACGGACACCACTCGATGAGCATGGTTCCCTGGACATCTCACCATAGGCTCTAACACGCCCACAAGTATTCGAGTAGAGAGCCTTCATTAAGGTGATGTACTTACTCGCCACTCCTTTCAGTGAGAGACATTGCCATAAGACTTCTCGATTAACGGAGTCGAATGCCGTCTTCAGATCGAGAAATACAGCTAGTGTCGGACGTCGGTAAGCGCGCCTGTGTCCCAGTACCTGGCACAGAGTGAATATTTGGTCGGCACACCCAAATCCGGGTCTAAATCCTGCCTTTTTTGACCACGTCATACAGTGTCTTTCTTTATGTCTGAAATTTGTGCTAGCTAAAATAGGTGGTTATCTGAGCATAGTTGTAGTAGGCGATCACCGTTATCTGTACGTTCAGTCAGGACTCCGAAGGTCTCACCTAAGTGCCTTTCTGCCTCAATCATCAGTCTACCCACCTGTGCATTGAAATCACCTGCAACATCCACCACGTCCGAACGTTTGGCTTTGGATAGGAGGCTGGATAGTTTACGGTAGAACTCGTCCTTCACTTCATCCAAACCAGTCAGTGGGTGCGTAAGCAGAAATCACAAAGAGACAACGGCGAGTCTCCCTATTCCTTTTAGTTCTCACTGTGCCGTTCAGTCGGATGGCGCAGAGGTAACTATCAACTGGGATCCAGTCTGGTAATGAGTTTTCTGTCCTAGTGCTCAATGCTATGCCCACACTTGCAAGACTACGAGAGCTAGCTATCGAATCTCCAGAAACTCGAAGGGTGAATTTCGCGGATTCACCAGATTGGTCGGGAGAGGTCAGGTGAATAACTGCACTTGGATCCTGTATGCGTGTCTCACAAATACAGCACACATCCATGGCCTGAGTTGCTAGATTCTTGGCCAATGAAGCCTGTTGACCAATTCGACGGAGGGTGCGGACATTGAAGGCTCCAATATGTTATTTGGAGCCTGGTTTAAGGAGACCAGTGATGCTGTTCTGTGGACTCAGATCGTTGTCGAAGGTTGCAGAGGTAGGAGAAATTGAAGATGATGCAGCATCATTAATTAAGAGACGTGAAGGAAGATTAGAAGGTAATGATGGGGGAGGTGGATAGCAGTCTGAGGAAACTCGAGTGCTGATCGGGTTTTGAGGGTGGTTGACACTTCCTGACTACCCACACTGTGGAAGGCTATTTCTTCTTGAGGTACCTGGAAGAGATTTGTGTGACCGCAGAGCCCATCGGACATCTGCCTGAGGCTTGTCACACTCAGCCTTTTGTGTATGATTATTTTGAACTTTTGTTGTTTTGGGGTCGGATGGTTGAAAAGAGACGACAAATGAATCAACACCACCGGCCCAGCAGACCATGGAGTATGTTATTTTGGGGGCCGACCTTTTCTAACACCCCCTTCCACTGAGAAGACAGCATCAGCATGGCATTACTGGTCATTTAAGGGGAACACCTTACTGCTGTCACACCTCATCCAGCTAGCAGAAGTACGACTTCGCCCTCAGATCCCATCATAGTGTAGTAATTTACACCACAACGGTAATTACTTTTCGTCTAACCACTATCTAACAGAGCTTTCTGGTATGGTAGGACATAGAGGGAACAAGTGTTCCGCCAGCATAGCTCGTTGGGTCATTGTGATATGCAAGCCCGACCACCACGTCAAGGCAGCAGCTATCGGTCGGGCTAGGATCTTGCACACAATACTAGTCAAACTAATTCCCTAACGGTTATCATAGGAAGACTTCTCTTCTTATAGTCTGGGATGATCAGTGAAGTAGACCAGTCTGACGGGACTACCTCTGATTCTCATACACTACCTAATACCTCCGTCACTTTAATCAACAATTTACCACCTCCATTCTTGAAAACTTCGGGTGGCAAACTGCTAAGTCCTGCTGCTTTACATCGTTTCAGATTCAATACGGGCTTCTCAACTTCAAGGAGAGTTGGACGACCGACGTCTACGTCCCATTCAGATTCAGACTGGATGTTGGGCAACTAGAGCGTTGCTGAGGGCCAGTTAAACTGTGCTTCAAAGAGTTATGCTCAGGGTTCTAGCCATCTGTCCTGGGAGGTTATCAGGGTCTCATCCTTCTTAGTGATGGTTCCCCTTTTGCCTGTATCTTCAACAAGCCTAAATAGTTGCCGGGTTTTACCCAACGTTGATCCCTTCTCCAGCTCTCTCATGATCGACGAGAAGATTTCTGGTCAACGTACGTTTAAGTTGCTTTCGCCCTTCATAGTGATCAGAACCAGCTGGCATCGGTCTTCCTGCATCAGTCATTCCAGATGACACTGAGAAAATGCAATGACGTTTGCTAGTCTTCATATGTAGATTACCAACTGTCTTTACTGCTGTTCCAACAGCAGGTTTAATATCACGCCAAGTTGCCTCAGGATGAGGATTTCTGTCAAGTGCTTAGCTAGCCCCTCTCTCAATACTTGCTTAGCGTCCTCGTCTATCAATCGACCATATACAGGCTTTGCTATCATGTATCCTGTGGTCAGCAGGGCGCAGACACGTGAGCCTGTGCTACCGCGTGAGCGGGGTTCAAACTAGTACCCCGGGGAGAGCGATAATCCTCCATCGGCGGATTCCAACTGAGACACTGACTTGTCGTTGAGCCTTAATATTGGGAGCTCCGACATGAAATCGACGGCGCTGTTCTAGGAAATTAGGAATGAAGTTTAGGAAACTCATCGTTGTAGAGTGAGATGTTGAGTAGGGTATAGAGTGCTCAATATTAGTATCGGGAGGTGAAGGCGAAGGAGGAGACAGATGAGACATATGATCCTGTCTTGTGTACTGGTGGAAGCGTGTAGACGTTTGACCCTTCGTGATTGCCCACATCGCGTAAAGCGAGTTCTTCTTGAGGCACTTGAAAAAGAAGCGGTAGTGCATAATTGTAGAGTTTATGGGACATCTGCTTAAGGCTGGTCACATGGCCTTTTGGTAGCTTTCGGTTATTTTTTCGAATCTTACTGAATCCTTGCTCCAAGCATTGGCATGCCACGATGGGGTATTATTTTTGAGATCGACCTTTTCTAACCTCATCTCTCGCTGAGAAGGCAGCAGCAGCGTTGCACTACTAGTCATTCAAAGGGAAATTTACCGCTGTCACACCCTATCCAGCTAGCAGCAGTACGACTCCGCCGTTAAACCCCCTCACAGTTTAGTAATTCACACTACAACGGTAACTGCTTTTTGTGTTACAACTATCCACCAGACCTTTTCGACATGGTAGGACCTCAAGGGGACCAACTTATCATCAGCATAGGTTGCTGGGTAATTGTCATATATAAGGTCGGCCGCTACGTCAAGGCACCAGCTACCGGTTGGAATTGAGACGTATATCCAGTTTCAAAATTTATTTGCAGCCTAGGTCCTTTACTCTCCCAAGCCTGTTTCCTTGTAGTGCAAGGCAACTGAATGAGGAAAGTCCAATAACCAGGTTTCATGGCATTAAATCACCTGCATAAGTAAACGCTGGTAGCATCATAACCACTTGATAATACCCGATGTATACTCTCATTAAGTACAGCATGGAAGAATTCAGCATTAGGAATCTCATATATGAAAAAAGACACTAGAAACCCTATTCAAGGGACAAGTTGGAGTTCTCCTAAATAAAGGGGGAAAAGCCTCAACCACGATAGTTACAAGTTTGCCGCTAAAACAAATGAAACTTGAGGATTTAGAAAACAGAATTACACGGAATAAACGGTAAATAATAAGACTAAATAATAAGACTAATTCTGTTAACAATATCCAAGACAATCGTAAAGGTATGACGCAGACTCATTAAAAAAGAAAGAAACCAATATCCAGTTTTAAAAAATCATCTTGGTACCTATCTAATTTGATCTACATGAAGTATCACAGACAATTTTTAGATTCGAAAGGCAAACACCTAATTAACAACTCAAAAAGGAGTCGATAAGGACGATTCTACTACCGTCTACAAATCTTTCGCGAGGGTTCGTGATATCACTAAACGTTTTCTCCAACATTCTGGCTGGGAACTAAAAACCATCTCAGTGATTTGTCCATGGAATTTAACACAAATTACAAGCAACTCAGGAAGGTCACTTCAAAACTTTTATTCTTTTATACATGAGTTGATTGATAGAATTTTTATTTGCACTATATACATATGTGAAATGATCCTAGCTTAGAAAGCAAGTTTCTTAATCATCAAATACAAATGTTTTCCGACACGAAATCCTTGCAGGTTACTCGCATCCCCTGTAAGCTGCATAAGCAGCCCCCCGAAAGAAACATAACAGGAGAGCCTACTGGCGTCAACGCCACTATCTTGGGTGTCTATTCGGTATATTTTTCCGTAGCATACATAGTCAAACTCTGCCATTTTGCTGTTCGCCAGCTTTTCATCTGTTTCATCTGCTGCATCATCTTCGTCGTCATCGTCTGCATCTGTAGCCAGTTCATTAAGAAGCGTTTTAGTAAGAACCATGCGGAACTTGTCTCCTTTCGAAAGACTGTATATCAGAGCATGGATATCTAAAATCAACCCCATCTTGAATGATTCACTTTCACAAAATAACCGTGAGACTTTATCGAACTTTTTACCGTCCTTGTCGACATCCTTCACATCAAAAATATCTTCCAAAAGCGCAGACATACCACTATTATTATCACAGCGACCAGCTGAAGGTCAAGTTTAATCTAACGTATTCCAATCCAATGTCCAATATCTGTTTACGAGCTGGTGTAAACCAATTGATATCTTCGCTCTTGCTTCTAGGTCTTGCGCAGTGGTTCTAGGTCTTTCGTGGATTCCGATGCCGTAGGTCTACCCACTCGACTGCTTTAGCTCTGGTTAGCCCAACGGGCGGTTGTGTGTTGGTTAAATTTGTAGGGATTGTTTGTGTTGTTTTTTCTCCCAAGTACCATGGTGCAGGTGGGTTCCTCAAGTGTCATGCCAGCAGACATTTGGTCGGACCGGTTATAAAAAGGAGATGGAAAGTATGTCCGGAGAAATCTAGGGAGAGAAAGTGCGAAGAAAAATAAACAATAGAAAAAAACTATCACGTAAAAGGAAACGGTACGAAAGAAGAAACATCGACAGACTCATGGGAGAGGGTTGATAAGGCGAGTCTTTGTTGAAGTGTGAGGACGTAAAGTCAGTAGGAAGAGAAGAAGAGAATAACATTATAGGACAGCCGCTGGGAATAGAGATAGTAATCCTATTAGATGGTAACTGGAGGATACATCTATAGGGAAGCACAAGGTTGGGCAAGATCCCAGTGGTTGTGGTGCCACAGTGCACTCGATAATGAGTTGGTCGTACCGAGTTAGTAGGCCTCATCAGCCTCTTCCATATCCCAGCTGGATGAGCGCAAGCCGTGCGTCGCCGCTCGACTGTCCTACCTCCTCTTGAAGCCATCAACAGACGAGCAGCAGCAATCAGAGCAAGCAATGCTTTCTAGCAGCCGTAGACTCGTAGTGAAAAAAGTGTGAACGCACACAGGTTGTCGCCCTCTGCTGGGCTCCTCGGACTACCACGAGGATTCCCACAGTAGTCGTTCGGTAGGATTTCACTGTTCGGATGACCTGGATTACTTAGTATTTTGTAGGCTGTTATCAAGTCACCACATAATCTATGGCAGCTTAGGGAGTGCAGCCCTTGATCTTTCAGCCTGCCCCCACAGGGTTTTCGCCTCATTCCCGCGGCACCCTATGTAGCCCTCCTGCGGACTTTATCCAGGAAGTTCACACCTCTTTCCAGGTATGGTGGTGCGATAAAGTCATGGGCCTCTAAGTGGGGTCGTACGTAGGTCCTGTACAGCTTCAAAAAGAGTTCCGGGGTCAGGGTATATGGATGTTTGCGCATGAAGTGCAGCACCGCGTAGGTTCTGGGGGCGTCTCCTGGGCAATTGAAGCTGGCGTCTAGCTCGTCAGTCAGTATTAGTCCCAAGTCTTTTTCCGTGGTGGTGTGGGAAAGTCGTGCTCTGCAGAGAGAACGGAGTACCTTCTGAGAGTCACGGTTGCGCGGAAACATGGTTCGGGACCCATTCAGATTAAATGCCAGTCCATTAATATCCAACCATCTGTGAGTAACCTGAGATCACTGCAGTGCACTTGATTCTGTTTCGGATGTCACGGCTCTCCACAACTTAGCATCATCAGCGTAAGGCAGAATTGGGGAGCTGAGATTCAGTCAGCGGTCGTTCATAAAAGGAAGGAATAGCAGCGGACCCATAATCTCCTTTTTCATACACTAGATGATGGTGTCCTCCAAGTCGAGCAAACTCTGTTGGCTTTTGCGAGGGGTTCTCCGGCGTCTAAATGGTTCTGTAGTCGGGAGAACACTTGACCCCTGATGCCCAAACTGATGTTCTGGGAATAAGAACGGCGTGCGAGACTGTGGCAGAGGCCTTGGCGAAATCCGGGAAAATAACATGAACAGGAATTCGGAGGTTTCAACATGCTGTCCACTTGTCACCGGCCGCCGGAATGTTTGAGCATCGCTTGGTACTCCCCTCTTTTCCAAGTACCGCCTGACATGGTCGTCTGCCAGGCTCTCCACTACTTTTGACAACACTGGTAGAAGGGCTACGTGTCAATAGGATTTTGGATTCTATCTGCTTTTCCTCTGAAGGTGGGAGACAGAACAGCATGTTTCCACTCTCGCGAAAACAGGTGGTTGTCCAGGGAGCTTTGAGACAGATTTCGCAGTGGGCTGTACAAGGGATCCTCCCATTGTTCCCACACAGCCGGTCAGATGTCATCGCATCCTGATGATTTCCCTGCGCAGAGGACCAATATCCAGTATTGATAGTGTGGGAGTAGAAAACTGATAGTTTTTGATCTCTCGCATCTAGTTCTTCTGCCTTGCACTTCGTTCCAGGTCACAGTTTAGTCATGCAACTACCAGAAAGTTCCATTTTTCTGTATCTGCATTGTTTATAGGTCCCAAAAAATCTTTTACAACGTCATCTGACTGGGGTATATGTGGTTGGCTATCAAAGGTAGGGTCGAAAGCCTCCCGTTTACTTGCTTGGCATCTTCATTACTCCACTATTTTTACTGAAACTGTTATTATCTTCATCTGTTTACTAACATGCGTGGTAAGTGTGCTGCCCTCAAAAAAGTCTGTCTACGAAACACCTTAAGCATAGCTTCACCGAAGTCACTGACCACCTCATTCTCAGTAGGTACTAGGGCTGCAGCTAAAAGGTGTCAAAACGTGACGAAAAAGTTTTAATGGACACAAACGCACCACCTAGGTCTAGCTCAACCAAGCGGTCATGGCTTGCAACACTGGAGGTTAGGTGAACCCCAGTCCCCACAGAACTGCAACCGTCGCTGTCCTCAGTCAAGTAAACTCACACCACCGTGCTATACCTAGCAACTAGCCCAACCAACCGATGGAAAACGCCAGGCGGAGACGTCAGAGTGAGACGGAAGCGTCTGGACGAACCTCATGGACGTGGCCACCACTGTCACATGTGTGCTCTCACCGCAACCAAAAGTGATGCGAACTTCAAGTTCAACAGCTATAACAGGTGGGTACACTGAGGATGTAGCAAAGAAGTACAAAATCAGTGCTATACTTCTATGGTGCACCGTCCATGCGCGTGGTTCTGGCACATCCGTTCGCGGTGCCATCCGAGATCGCACCTAGCCTCGGGCCCACTCAGAATGGCTGATAAACTCCCAGCCACCTCCGAGAAGCAGGTATCCACCCAAACCAATACAGCAGAGCAGATTCACCCACTAAGTGCCGTAAGCAGTGGCCGATCGGAGGTCACAGACCCACGCGGTCCGAAACCGAATAAAATGCTGCCTACATCATGAGCAGCCGCATCCACCCGAAGGCCTGGAGCCGCATCAGCGACAACCACCAGACGGCAACATAATAAATGGGTAACGGTGGGGAAGAAAGCTCGAATTACTCGTAAAAACGCACCTATGGTACAGAATAATGTAGGCATTGCGGCATGACCCGGCTTTATCATTCCATTCGACGTTCCTATCTGCAGTAATAGGGATAATAGTAATAGAATACATCGACACGTTTGACAGCCAGCAGTGGAACTCCCTCTGTGTCACGCTATCTCTAAATGCCCCGAGGTGAAACTGTGTCGAGCGTAAGAAGATAGCCATTCGCTCCCAGGTAATCCTGCGTCGTTAAGAGCGACTCAGGGCTCAACCAGAGGTATCAGAAGGTTCCCTTACTGTCACACGGCCTGGTTATCAACAGGTCGTCCAGCGCTTGAGCTAGACCTGGCTGTTCATGGATGTCAAGAAAGACATCTTGAGAAACAGCTGATCCACAAGGACCCACAAAAATGGTCATACACTGAATACCTGAAGTGACAACCGCTACCCCAGGCGTGGAGTACACCCATGACGTCCAGCAAAGGGAGTGTTTAACAGCTCGGATGGAGCCAACTGGGGTTGCAGCAGTAGTGGGCGGCAGGCCACCACGCCCCTCGCACCTGACAACTATGGCTTCACCCAGACCAATGGCCATCAGCTTCAAGCTCCCAGAAGTTCTCACCACAGTGCTAGAGACATGAGATGAGTAGAGAACGCCGTAAGTGAGAATGTTCGCTTCCGTAAAAGTGGACCTATAATCCTGCGGGAGCAGCAGACAGCAGTTACTCTCCATGCTCAGGTCGCCATCACCACACACCAACTCGTGGAGAGTCAGACTGGCAACCTCCACCCAGCACCTGTCGTGCTAAACGGCATTGGGAAAAACTTAACCTGGCCCGTTCCAAAGGGACTGGCCAGTCGGTAAGACCCCCCGCCATATCCCAAATTATGCTGCCGGTCAATCCAGAGGTACCTCACTTTGCGAGAAGCAATTCCGAGCATCTTTACAATGACGTGAGAGGATTCCGAAGCAAAATGTTAGGGATCCGATGCCCCCTTACTCCTGAAATTGTAATCCCGATTGAAAAACATGGCTATCACCGGGCATTGGCGGCACCAAAGTCAACATACGCGGCAGTTTTTCGTTCAGGAGGGACAGGAAATGCAAGGACGGAGGTAGAGTGGCAATGTACGTTGATAGTCGGTTCGAAAGTGAACAAACCGCTGCCACCGTACTGACAGAGCTCCCATACTCCACCCGGTGCCCCTTCGTGGTCAGGCACACTAGGTATCTGATCGGCGAACTCTGTCTGTCTCCTAATGACGACGTGGAACACAACCAAAAATAACTCCAAGTAATATCCACAGTGTTGGCTATGGGGTTTGGCCACATCCCAATGGCTGATGACTTCAGCACCCCAACTGTCGACCTGGAGCAAGGCGGCATGACTCCGAGACGGGAGTTTGATCGCAACCAGCTGAATGCCATCCAAATGGCTGGGATCTGCGAAAAAATTGGCGACGATACCCACTGGGGGTCAGATGGCAAACCATCTAAACTGAATTACCTGCTGACTAGTGGCCATCCATTAGTTGAAAGCCTCCAGGTCCAAACTCCCTCTGGAAGTAAAGATCACGCCGTGGTGGTGTTCGATTAGGTAATCAGCAGACAATTAACGTGAGAGGCATCTTATCCTTGCCTCTGTTACAGCAGAATAAACTCCGAGGGAGTGGCCCAATGCCTTTCAATAGCCCCATAGCCGGCTTATTGGCTCTCCTCATCCGCTGAGCGGCACTGGGAACCAGTAAGAGGCATCGCTAAGACTGCGATCTCATGGCCAAAATGAGAAACT